TTATTTATTTATTTATAGTAGGCAAGTTGTTCTATAGCTCAGACTGGTCTTTAGCTCATTATGTAGTTAGGATAACCTTGAATTTCTGATCTCTCTGTCACCACTTTCTAAAACTGGGATTTCCGGTATACACCTCCATGCCCAGTTTATGCAGTGCTAGGGTTGAATACAGAGCTTCATGCCTGCGAGCTGAGCACTCTGCCAGACAAGGTACATCTCCTACTGCCCTTGAGCATTATATGAAAAAAGCAAATTCAGAAAGCAACTGCATAGTCTTGAATTTTATATATCCTCTGCATGCAAAACCTCACAGAGACACCTTGGGAACTCAGTGAGTCAGAAGGTTTCTGAAGGGTGTAGCTCGGAGGAAATACTAAGTAAATGTCTTTTAATGTCGGTGACCTTGACTCCTAGTACGGTTTTGTTCCCTGATGCCTCATGTTTAATAAAGTGGTCAGTAAACATTATTACAGTCGTCATAACTGTTGCTATGGGGATTGGCACTCAAACTCTCTCCAGATCCTCCATCATTCTCTCTTGACTTCTCTGCCTGACATTCTGACCCTCATTCATTCTTCTGTGGAAACTCCCTTCATAAGACTTCTCAGTATATTCGTCAGAGCTTCCTCTAACTCCACCTTGCCTGTGGCATTCGAAGTGGAGAGAGAGGCTCACTTACTTGTTTTTGAAATCTACTTTTCTGGCTGATTGGATAATAACACTATGAATATTTCTTCTTTCTCTTTTCAGTTTTATAACTTGATTTGACAATTAAAAGTTAGTTCTCATTCACATAAACAGTAGTTTCTTTTTTTGTCAAAACAGTTATTTAGAGGCTTGGGGAAAGGTTGAAGAGGTCCACTCTGCAGTGCAGATCTTAGAGATTTCCTCATCACTAACAGAGACAGTAGTTTTTTTTTTTTAATGTGGTAACAGGGACCTAGCATAATAAAGTACAGAGTTTGTTTGATGAATACTTTTTTCTCTATGTTTTCTATACAAAAACACATGGATACTGTATAGAACTTTCCTTATTCATTTGGTACAAACAACTTTTCTAACCTCAGTATCATTGTATGCATTTGAAGTCCTTATCTCCTTCCGGGCCAGATTTTTGATGTCCTTTAAGGGGCACGTGTCTTAAAATACACTCCATGGAAGGGGTTGAACATAATATATTACACACACATATAAAGTCCTTAAATGATAAGAATTTAAAGTGGAGAGTGATTAAGGAAGGCATCTGAAATATCCTTCTGCTTCCACATGCACACACATGCATACACACATGGACCAGCGCTCACATCTGTACTCAACACACATACACACACGGGGGGGGGGGACTATCATGGTTGATACCTATAACCACAGCATGAGGGATGTTAAGATGCTAGAATTGTGATGCGTTTGAATGATTGCCTAGAATTTCCCGGTGAGAGGCTAGGAGTGTAAGTGACAGGCAGAGCTCTGTTCTAGAACCATCCAGTGAGAGGCTAGAGAGATATGGCTCAGTTGAAAAGTACTTGCCTAGCTTGTATGAGGTCCCAATCCTACCACCATACTCCTCACACATCTGTCTTATGGAAGAGGAAAAATGCTAGCTTGGTGATGACTAGAAATTATTTACATCACCTAGTAAGTGCTCAACAAACAATAATTATGATTGCCTATAGCGAAACTAAACCCACTAATCCTTCTCTGCTTGCTTTTTATTTTAAAGATTTATTTTACTTTTAATTATGTCTGTGACTGTGTCTGGGAATGTGTACATACGTCAAATGACCATGGAAGCCAGACAAGGGTATCAAACCTATTGGAACTAGAGTGGCAGGCAGTTGAAAACTGCCTGAATAGGTTCTGGGAACTGAACCAGGTTCCTGTTTCCTCTTTTACAAAGGCAGTACAGCATTTGAACTTGGGCCTCATGGCTGATGATGCATGAGAGGCTTGTGAGAAAAAGTACTAGAACTGTGGAAACTCCTCAATGCTGGAGCTTGGGGAAGCAATGGCTTTGCTTCTGCTTCTCTGTGTTTGCTTTTCTTAGGTGGGGAACACCTTGGAAGGGACTGAACTGAAAAGATCAGAGACAAGTCAAGCTCAACTTTTGCTCTTCCTTTCCACTACCTCCGCTTGCTGTGTTCTCTTTGGAAAACCCCCTTCTTACTCTCCCCTCCCCTGGTACAGCCAATTCCAGCTGACCCTTCTACCTTGGGCTCTGAGACACCTATTCCAGGAAGCCTGACCCACTTCTCCACCTATTTCCACGTTCAAGTCTGATGTCTCATACTGACTTACTGGCTACAGTTCAACCCTGTCAGTTTTCATTTGTCCATCACCCTTGAGATGTATGTTCAGAGTATGATGGAAGTGTCAAAATATGTTTATTTTAAAAGTGGCATAAGTAGGGCATGCAGGCTGGTGGGTCGATCAGTCTTCAGGAAATTGCCAATAGGATGGTGACCACAGGGGTGGGAGGTGGAAGTTATTGATAAACTTGTACCAGCTGTAGGTTTATGGAGTTTAGTTCCAGATACAAGATATAAGAGGGACATGAGGGCCTGAATCCCAAACTCTGTTACCCTGAGCACCTGCATTCACTCCACTTCTTGGATATGGGTGATCTTAAATCCACCACAACTGGCTGGAGGAAGGCTAGAGAGATGAAGATCTCCCAAATGCCCAGATGAGAGGACTGAAGGATCAAGGAGATACCATTTCTTGCCCCAGTTTATTTTTAATGAGAAATTGAGGGAGGAGTCTGGAGAGAAAGCTAAATCAGTATAATGCTTGCATTGCAAGCAGGGAATCCTAACTCTAAAGCCCTGAGCTGTACTCACGGTGAGTATGGTGCTGTGGTGGTGTGGTGTACCCAAGCACATCTGTGTTCTCTGTGATCTCACACACGGTGCTGTAGTGGTGTGCAGTACATCTGTACTCTGTGTGCTCACAGACGGTGCTGTAGTGGTGTGCAGTACATCTGTACTCTGTGTGTGCACACACGGTGCTGTAGTGGTGTGCAGTACATCTGTACTCTGTGTGTGCTCACAGACGGTGCTGTAGTGGTGTGCAGTACATCTGTACTCTGTGTGTGCTCACAGACGGTGCTGTAGTGGTGTGCAGTACATCTGTACTCTGTGTGCTCACAGATGGTGCTGTAGTGGTGTGCAGTACATCTGTACTCTGTGTGCTCACATGGTGCTGTAGTGATGTGCAGTACATCTGTACTCTGTGTGCTCACATGGTGCTGTAGTGGTGTGCAGCACATCTGTACTCTGTGTGTGCACACACGGTGCTGTAGTGGTGTGCAGTACATCTGTACTCTCTCTGTGTGCTCACATGGTGCTGTAGTGGTGTGCAGCACATCTGTACTCTGTGTGTGCACACACGGTGCTGTAGTGGTGTGCAGTACATCTGTACTCTCTCTGTGTGCTCACATGGTGCTGTAGTGGTGTGCAGTACATCTGTACTCTCTCTGTGTGCTCACATGATGCTGTAGTGGTGTGCAGTACATCTGTACTCTGTGTGTGTGTACACACAGTGCTGTAGTGATGTGCAGTACATCTGTACTCTATGTGTGCACACATGGTGCTGTAGTGGTGTGCAGTACATCTGTACTCTGTGTGTGCCCACACATGGTATTGTACATCTGTACTTTCTGTGCTGGGGAGGGAGGTGAAAATGTACAGATACTGGGCTTGCTACCCAACATACCTAACCACTCAGTGAACCCTAGGCCAATGATGAGATAGCTCAGTGGGCAAAGGCAGTTGCCAGTCCTGAAGACCAAAGGTCAAGCCACCAAAGGAAGCCATGTGAAGGAAGGAGAAAACCGACCCTTTTATAAGTTTTTACCTGCCATTTACATGACTGCTACAGTATACATGCACAGGGATACACATATAAAACAATAAATAAATGTAACGAAATAGTTAAATTCAAAAGACATTGCTTTCTGGAGTCTACACATGGACACATGTACCACAACGTGTCTATAAATGAGAGAATACTTTCCTCCCCAGAACTTGGAAGAGGTTATGGGTCTTGTGAATAAGAGTCAGAACCTCAAACCTTTTGTTGAATTCTGCTTTTTTTTTTTAGTTTTGTATTTATTTGATTTGTATATATATGGGTGTTTGTCTGCAGGTGTGTCTGTGCACCACTGTGTGCCTGTGTCCATGGAGGTGAAGGGTGTCAGAGCTCCTGGAACTGGAGCTACAGGTGGTTATTAGCCACTGTATGAGTGCTTGGAATTCAACTTGGGTCATCTGGGAAAGTAGCCGGTGCTCTTAATACACTAAGCTCTATCTCCAGCCCCTCTGGCTGAATTCTTACGGCACTTTGTACCCTTCTTATCTCTCAGCAGTAGCTGAACAGCTTGACTTAGAAGTGATACATTGCAATTCCTATAGTGGAGAAAAAGAAAGCAGGGTGATGGTTTGGGGTTGCTAAAAAGCTCAGTCTTCATCTCTCCCAGCAACTAGGGAGTTCCCACACAGGAATGCTGCCTCCTCTGCACTCCTACACATACCAAACTGCACTCCGGAGGAGTAGCACCTTCCCCAGGGGAGGGTCCACCCCAGTCCTGTCTGGTGGTACCAGGCTCTCAACAAGGATGTCAGGTAGAATGTGGGAAAAAATTAAAAAGGACAGATGTGTACCAGAGGGTCGTCTGTGTTACTTCAAACTCTGATAGATTAGTGTAGATATCTTGGCTTTGCCCAAGTGTCAAGTTTTGTTAGGGGTTGTGGCTACCCTGGGTCTTGTATTGGTCTGTAAGGTATTAGTCACTGTATGGGTTCTGGGTAATGCTAAATGACCTTTGCCAGATATGGCAGTCATTGCATTCCCCTAGGGCAGGCCCTGCCCCGCCTGGGAAACCTAGCAAGGTGTGTCCTCGCCACCCTCCCTGAAGTTAAACTGGGGCCAGGTTAGGCTGGAATCAGTCTCAGGGACTCACTCAAAGGAGTAAGAAGCAGAGCACAGCACAACGGAGCAGGAGGATGGGACAGGAGAGCCTAGCATACTCTGTGCATCGCTGCAGGCCCCTGCTGACTCTGGCTGCCAGTCTCCTGCTCACCTGTGGACCAGGTAAGGACTGAACTGGAGAGACTGTGAGAGGAGAGGAAAGAAGGTGCTCTGGCTTTTACAAGCCCCTCCATGAGGTTGTCACTAGCAGCAGGAATCACAGGTATTGACTGAGAAGTCCCCCTCAGGCTCAGGGGCTTCAGTTTCAGTACACATCTCACAGAACTGAATGACAAGTCAGAGTGAACTCAAGTGAGGGAGTTTATTGATTAAGTAGAAAGACAATAGGACCCCAAGGAGAGTCAGGTGCAGAAATATTGTCATAAGTAGCTGTACATGAGGTGCGAGGAGCTTCAGGCTTGCTTGATATGCAGTTAAATTGATGTATCAGAGGAAGTAAGCATTGGTATATTCCTTTTTCTTACCCACAGAATTTTTTCAACATAGAGCCAGTCTTAGATATGTTGCAGGTGGAAGAGAGATGCTAGATATAAAATATTTATCAGGGAGAATCCTTACTTATATATAGGACAAAAGAGACTGGACTTTAGGCATAGTTCACGAGCTATTTTGAAAACTCTCCTCTCTATTCTCTCTCTCTCTCTCTCTCTCTCTCTCTCTCTCTCTCTCCCTCTCTCTTTCTCTCTCTCTCTTTCTCTCTTTCTTTCTCTCTCTCTTTCTCTCCCATGTGTGCGTGCGTGTGTGTGTGTGTGTGTGTGTGTGTGTGTGTGTGTGTGTTGAGCACATGTGAAGGTCAAAGAACAGATCAGGTATCAGTTTCTCACCATCTACCTTGTTAGAGAGAGTTTCTTGTTCAGCCTCTACATTTGATATGTTAGTTAGTGGATGACCTTTTAGGGACACAGTTCTCTCCATAGGGCTGGAGTTGAAGGCATTCACTCCTGCATCTGGCTTTATAGAGTTCTAGGGGTCAGGCTTGTATTGGAAGTGCTTTACTCCATGACTTTATATTAACTATTAAAACTATTTTAATTACATGTAACAGCCTGGGTTTTTTTTTGTTTTTTGTTTTTTTTTTTTTTGTTTTTTTTTTTTTTGTTCTGGGTCCTGAGGTTCAAACTCAGATGATCAGTCATGGTGGTAATCTACCTTGTTTGCTGGGACATCTCACCATCCCACACTGACTGTCTTTAGCAAACTTGTTTGTGCTTTGTAGAAATGGGTGTAAAGTTCCTTTTATAGGTGGTTTGGTCAATTATGTAGGAAACTTCTGAATGTCCATGATATGAGTCAGAAATCAGAACCATGGGAGTGAGTGAGAGTGAGGTGTCCTTTCCTTCCTGGGTCCCGTTTGTTTCTTAGCTATCTGTTCTGCCTGAGAGGCAGCCAGGACCAAGACTTGCTCTTTTCTCTCAGTTTTGAGTGAAGACTCCCTTCAAAGCCAAGGCAGTATTATCTGGACTGATTTAAATGAGTTAATGAAACTATTTTGTTCAAAAATATTTCCTGGGTTTTGAGTGCAGCTGACCAGGTACCCTCTCCTCAGTTGCTCACTCACAATCTTGCTCTCTGATAATTTTATAGAACTCTAGGCTTCTAGTACATAAGAGAAATTTTCAGGGTGAACATAGAACAACTCAGAAACTCATGATCCCACAGGATTCCATGATCTGTCTGATAGGCAAGAAAAATGATGGCCTACATTGGAAGAACAGTACTGAGCTGGATTGGGCAACTTTGAAGCACAGAAGGTGAGGATGCATGCTTCCACTGTGCAGTAGCGCAGAATTTTCAAACCAGGGAACTGGCAGGGAATAATATAGCTGTGGATCTTGGGGTAAGAAACCATTCTTGCCACAGGAGACTAAGTGAGCAAAGCAGAAGTCAGTAGCTAGCATCATGTGTCTTTGGATAGATTTGTGTGAGCTGAGCACAGAGTTGTGTAATGAGAGGACGCATAAGGGGAAGACTAGAAATAAAAAAGCATTCTGAACATCTTCCCCAACCTGTCCAAAGGATGAACTTTTCAGGTCTGGGCATCATTTAGAGAAGTCTTTTTGGGTCGTGCTGCCCTAACTGTAGAAAAGGGCTCTAAGTGTTTAAACACTGTAGAGTATCAGGAAACACACACACACCTCCTACAGAAAGAAGATCCAACATTCTCTAGTCCCCAACCTAGAGCCACCCAAACTTCAAACCTACACACTGTTCTACTCTGGCTTTGTGAGCAGTAAGTTTTGACTTTCCCATCAAATCTTTCCAGTATCTACAACACTGTTATGCAAAGGAGAGCCCTCGATGCCTAAATTACTCTTCATTTACTCTCTACTTGCTACAAAGACTCCTCCAAGCTCTGAAGGGGTGAGAACAGGAAGCCTTCAACATATTCCAAAATCCTCCTTCCCTCTTGTGCTCTCCTCCACAACCCCAGCCCACTCTAGCTAGTATTGAATTATACAAGTCCCGACAGCCCTGGAAGAACATTGTAGTTGGATTTCTTTATGAGGTTATCGATCACACACTCCCTGAATGGTAGGCAGGTTTTTAATGACTGTTCCCAAGTCGCTACAGAGACTGTTTGCCTACTTTTTGTCACCATGGCTCATTCAGGATTTGATTCTGAGAGTTGTTGATCTAGGCAACCCCATTGCTGTCACGGGGAAAAGAGAGAGAGGTGGTCTGGGTTATAGGCAGCTGCTCCCTCCACTAACATCCACAGGCCCTCCCAAAAGAATCTCCTGGAATCAGTCCAGACACTTTTCAGAACTTTTGATGTAAAATACTGAAAATTAGCTCCTTATCCTCTGAGCAGTAAGTCTGAGTCTGCTGCTGCCAGGCAAAGTGAAAAGTCGGAGTCCCGTAATTGTAGAGTGTTGATTAACATTCTGATTCTTGTTATCAGTTGATAGACTTGTTATCAGACAAACCTCAGAGGATACAGTATGGTCCCTGGACAAATCTAGCATATTGTAATTATTTTCCTCTAGCTTATAGTTAGCTTTCTGTGCCTAGCTAACATTTAATGCTATCAAGTCTGTGTGTAGAGGGGGGAAACAATGTTTTATAGGCTTTGGCAATACGTGTGGTGTTGAGTATCCACTTGGAGTCTGAAAAGATGCCCCTGAGAGGGTGTTATCAGCAGATATCGCAGTTCATTGTATACCTGCTGGAATTCCTAGGTGTTTGTAATATGGAATAAGAATTATATAGTGTCCTAGTCACTTTTTAATTGCCATGACAAAAACACTACAATCAAGGCAACTTATAAAAGAAAACATTTAATTTGGGGTTCCAGGGAGTTAGAGCTCAAGACCACCATGGTGTGGACCATGGCAGCAGGTAGGCACGAAACTTGGGATAACTAAGAGCTTACATCTTGAGACATAACCATGAGACAGAAAGCAAGGGAACTAGAACAGCATGGGTTTTTGAAAGCTCAAAGCCCACCCAGGTGACATGCTTCTACCCACAAGGCCTTATGTCTACTGCTTCCCAAATAGTTCCAGCAAATAGGGACCAAGTACTCAAACATATGAGCCTATGGGGACGATTCTCATTTAAACCACCACAGACAGGAAGAGAAATGGGTATTGTAGCAGAAGCAGAAACAGGTTATTAGGAGAGAATACACAGGCTGAGAAAATGGATCAGTAGTAAGAATACTGTAGCATAAACAAGATGACGTGAGTTCAGATCCTCAGAACTCATGTTAAAACAATAACAGCAAAAGCAGGTATGACTGTACCTGTAATTCCAGCACAGTGAAATATGCAGGCAGGAAAGTCAGTGCAACGTGCTGGTTGCCAGGCCAGCATAGTTTTCTGAGAGATCCTGTCTAAAAAATATAAGGCAGTCAGTGATACAGGAAGATATGTAACATCCTTTACTGGCCTGTGCAATGCACTCACAAATAGATATGTGCATACATCAAAATCACACTCAGAAAGAAAGGAAGGAAGGAAAGGAGAGAAGAGAAGAGAGGAGAGTAGAAGAAAGGAAAGGAAAGAGAAAGAAAGGGAGGCAGGGGTGGGAGGGAGGGAGGGAAGGAGGGAGGGAAGGAGGGAACGAGGGCAGACAAGATTTCCAGAAAAAGAAGTGGGCTGCAGTTGAGAAAAGGTCAGAAGTTCAACGGCAAATGCTGTACCAAGGACTGGGGCTTTTATATACCAATGTCTACACATGCTCTGTTACGTGTCGGCCATGGAGGTAGCAGTTGTGGTGTTCCACTCTTCCTCCCCACCCCGAGATTTCTATGTACCTACTTCTGACCTAACACTTCATGCTTCTCTCCTGCCATAGGGACAGCTGGGAGGCCACTCTGTGCCTGGTCATCCAGGCTTTCTTCCATGTTGATTATGCTATTATAAGGGTGAATATGTGTTTCAAGGTGCCTAATATATACAGGTTCTCATGCCCCAGAAAAAGAATTAGATAAGGGACATAAAAATAGAGATGAATTATTAAGAAAGCTAAAGTACTCCCAAGAACTGGAGTGGGCTAGTGAGCTGAGGAAAAAGCCTGTGCTCAAGAGTGCTGGGCTATGAGGCTCATGACCCTTGATAGATCACTTACAAAATTCCTGCCTCTTCTACACTGTCATATCATGAGCTTGGGAAGATGCTCTGTGTGTTAAATACAACCCCAGTACAGCAGCACTTCTCGTCCTTCTGGCAACTGGCTTCCTGCACATATTAAACTTTTTCTCTATGATACACATCTCATATTTTAAAGTATTTATTCATTTTTGTGTTTATATCTTGAGGGATTCATGTCTTGGTGCAAGTGTATAGGTCAGAGGACAACTTTTGGGAGTCTGTTCTCTCTTTCTGCCTTGTTGAGATGGTGTCTCTCTTGTTTTTCTGTTCCCTTCTCTTGTCTACAGGCTTGCTAGCCTGGGAGCTTTCAGATGTCTCCTGTCTCCACCTCCCATCTCATCTAAATGTGTAGGATTGCATATGGCATCCGGGAAAAAAAAGCAAAACAAACAACCCTGCTGGAATTGGGCATTTTAGCAATAACTTCACAACCATGACTATAAGAAGTAAATTATACAATATTGTTGGGTCAATAAGAAGGAAAAAGAGTGGAGAATGAAGGGCATG